GAGTAGTATTCCATCATATATATATGTGTGTGTGTGTATATATATGTATATATATATGAAGTGCTATAAAAACTGTTTTGAAAAAATGTTTTTAAGAAAATTTCATTTATCAACAGATATTGGTATAATAAAAAGATTTTTAAGGGAAACGGAAAATCATCAAGCACAGGGGGGAGTGTCATATTTTAAACCGTATGTACCCTATTATTTGGCCTACCCAATATATGGTGCTACCTCTTAAAGTTTTAGTTCTCGGTTAGTTTATCAATTTATTTAATTGAAAAATGAAACCTTAGAGTACTTACATTTGAAAAAAGAAATAAGATAAATATAATAAAATAATAGTTAAAAAATAGGTAATAAAATATTTTGGAATTTATCTAACTTTACTTATATTTAAATATTAGTTATTGTTGATCTAATTTTTTTTTACTTAATTACCTACTTAGCATAAATTATTTTTTAGGAATCTTAAATCAAAACGAATATGCTTATTAAAGAGATTTTAAAAAAGGGAAAAGTTTTATCTTCTTATAAAAGATATAAATTTTTGATATTTTTCTATAAATATTCCTTAATATTATTTTTACTAGTTTTTTTTAACTCAGATAATGTATTTTTGCTTACGGTAAATTTTAGCTGAAAGTGTACCAGAATAACATGCCTCAATATGCGAAGGGCCGTAAGCAAATGGCTAATAAAGAAATTATTTTAATTCTGAAATTTTTCGATGCATTTTTAAGTAATTAAGAAATCAAATGTTAGAAAAATTATTATTTTAAAATTGACATAATTATGCAAAAAATAATAAGAACAATGTTTTTTTAAATGAAAAATGTTATTGGGTTATGCTAAAATGATAAAATAAATGTAATGGAATTGCAAAATTTAGGAAAAACTATTCATTAAAATTGAAAATAAAAACTTGCTAAATAATCATATTTATTATATAGAAAATAGTTCTTGAAACTTACTTTAAAGATGAAGTTGCTAAATTGAACACTGAAAATAGAATATTTTCTAAAGGCTTAACTCCAGGTAGCCAAAACTGAGGCTAACAAAGTAATAGGGAAATAAGGAATCTGCACGAAGCTGTTGTAGTTATTTATAACTAAACTTATAGTTTTCTTGTCTTTTTTTTAAAAAAAAAGAAAGCATGAACTGCTTAAAGTGATTTTAAACACCTGTACGTCAGTATATATTGTATCGTGTAAAGGTAATATATATATATAGGTATTTCATACTACCTCACAGACAAATTCGAACGAATACATTTATTAATATTTACTGATAAAGAGATTTAATCGTGACTCAACACGAAAATAAAACGTCGACATTTTCCCTCATTGTTTACAGAACCTGCTTCGGTAATTTTATTTCCATGAGTAGCTTTTAGCTGCAAAAGTGATTAGATTGTTTTTCTTATAATTGTATTATTTTATAATGTCTTTAAATATTACATTAGTTACAAATATTACATTCCTTACTGTCTTTACATATTCATATTACAATTTTTAAATATTACATTTATTTTCATTAGGCTCCTTTATAATTTATTACAGACCCTTACTTGTTTTAGACTTTTTGAAGGTGAGCAAACTCATGGACCTTGTCTAGATAGGCTAGAAATGGGGCTTTTGACACTAGTATATAGTTCATTTTTATTATTTTATCACTTTTATTATTTTATTACAAAAGCATGATTTTAGATCAAAATTAAAATTTAATTTTTTTTCTGTATTTTGTTCAAATAACCATTAGTAGCCAATGACAGAAAAATCATTTCCTTTATTCTCTTTAAATACAGTTAGTTAGGAAATCAATGCACATTAAATTTTTTTTCTTGCATTAAAAAATTAGAAGCATTATTAAGTCATTTTCTGTTTATTTTTTTTATCTGCAAATATGACTTCGCAATACAAAAAAGAAAAAAAAAACACACACAATAACAATACAAAATTTCACTCTCAATTAGTTACTGCTGAAGATAAAGTTCGTTTTCAATATGTCCTTATACGTTTTTATTTCTTCTTTTGAATCAAGCAGTATTAAAATTAGCATTCAAGTAACATTTATTATGCCAAAACCTGTAGTTTTAGATTAAATGATTTAAAAAATAATCGACTGCATAGGTCGATTGTTACTTGGCAGACATGACCAAGCCGGAGTACTCGGAACCGGGTATCAATAGCTCGGGTTCCGGAACTTAATATCGCGTTATGAAATTTGTTAGGTCGTGTCAGGATAATAAATAAAATCTGACCCACCCAGATTTTATTTCAGACCCGGTTATTCCTAGTTACCGGGAAATAACCGGGTACCAGATACATTTCTAATTATAAGAACCATCTAAAATTCCTCTACACTATAAAAAATGTTAGTGTATCTTAACACAAAATATGGAGGCAACTACTTTGCGTCAAATTGGTAATCCGCTAACTGTTCCACTACACCAAGAATTAAAAACTTAATATCACGTTATGAAATTTGTTAGGTCGTGCCAAGATAATAAATAAAATCTGGGTGGGTCAGATTTTATTTCAGACCCGGTTATTCCTATTTACCGGGGAATAACCGGGTACTAGATACATCTCTAATTATAAGAACCTTCCAAAATTCCTCTACACTATAAAAAATGTTAGTGTATCTTAGCACAAAATATGGCGGTAACTACTTTGCGTCAAATTGGTAATCCGCTAACTGTTCCACTACACCAAGAATTAAAAACTCAATATCGTGTTATGAAATTTGTTAGGTCGTGCCAAGATAATAAATAAAATCTGGGTGGGTCAGATTTTATTTCAGACCCGGTTATTCCTATTTACCGGGGAATAACCGGGTACTAGATACATCTCTAATTATAAGAACCTTCCAAAATTCCTCTACACTATAAAAAATGTTAGTGTATCTTAGCACAAAATATGGCGGTAACTACTTTGCGTCAAATTGGTAATCCGCTAACTGTTCCACTACACCAAGAATTAAAAACTCAATATCGTGTTATGAAATTTGTTAGGTCGTGCCAAGATAATAAATAAAATCTGGGTGGGTCAGATTTTATTTCAGACCCGGTTATTCCTATTTACCGGGGAATAACCGGGTACTAGATACATCTCTAATTATAAGAACCTTCCAAAATTCCTCTACACTATAAAAAATGTTAGTGTATCTTAGCACAAAATATGGCGGTAACTACTTTGCGTCAAATTGGTAATCCGCTAACTGTTCCACTACACCAAGAATTAAAAACTCAATATCGTGTTATGAAATTTGTTAGGTCGTGCCAAGATAATAAATAAAATCTGGGTGGGTCAGATTTTATTTCAGACCCGGTTATTCCTATTTACCGGGGAATAACCGGGTACTAGATACATCTCTAATTATAAGAACCTTCCAAAATTCCTCTACACTATAAAAAATGTTAGTGTATCTTAGCACAAAATATGGCGGTAACTACTTTGCGTCAAATTGGTAATCCGCTAACTGCTCCACTACACCAAGAATTAAAAACTCAATATCATGTTATGAAATTTGTTAGGTCGTGCCAAGATAATAAATAAAATCTGGATGGCTCAGATTTTATTTCAGACCAGGTTATTCCTAGGTACCGGGGAATAACCGGGTACTAGATACATCTCTAATTATAAGAACCTTCTAAAATTCCTCTACACTATAAAAAATGTTAGTGTATCTTAACACAAAATATGGAGGTAGCTACTTTAAGCCAAATTGGTAATCCGCTAACTGTTCCACTACACCAAGAATTAAAAACTCAATATCGCGTTTTGAAATTAGTTAGGTCGTGTCAGGATATTAAATAAAATCTGGGTGGGTCAGATTTTATTTCAGATCCTGTTATTCCTAGGTATCGGGGAATAACCGGGTACTAGATACATCTCTAATTATAAGAACCTTCTAAAATTCCTCTACACTATAAAAAATGTTAGTGTATCTTAACACAAAATATGGAGGTAACTACTTTACGCCAAATCGGTAATCCGCTAATTGTTCAACTACACCAAGAATTAAAAACAGTTCCCGTCTTGATAAAGCGAAACACCAAGAATGTCCTTTTACGCTGCTTGATGTAGAGTAGTTGCCACCATTTTTCACTAAAAGTTTTGATTACAGTAAAATGAGATACTCAAAAGTGTCATTAAAGTTACTGTACTGTGCAATATAAAGTCATAATTATTAACTTATGATAGATATATACACTAATTCTTTAAAAAAATAGTTTGTAAATCAAATATACACGAATCACAAATAGTTGTTGTAGTTCATTTACGTCGCACTAGGGTTACTGTGCTCACTGTACACACTGTGCACACTGTAGTTCATTTACGTCGCATTACGTCGCACAATGGGCTATTGGCGACGGTCTGGGAAACATCCCTGAGGATGATCAGAAGACATGCCATCTCAATTTTGATCCTCCGCAGAAGGGATGGCACCCCCGCTTCGGTAGCCCAACGACCTGCACGCGAAGTTGAGCACTTTTCGGTTGAACAGTTTAACGAGGACCAACACCGCACACTCTCGGTCCCTACTCAGACTGATCCAAGTGGTCCCCCACCCGCACACTGACAGCAGCCAGTGATGATCTGCTGGGAACCGTGTCTTAATGATCAGTCCACTGCGGAACACGAATCACAAATAGAAAACCAAGACTAATTCGAGATAGGCTTAGCAAAGCAGAAACGGATGGATTATATACATCATAAGTTTGTTTAATACAGTTCATAGGAATTGAAAAAATTAAATATAAATAACAACTTAAAACAAACATACATATTTTAACGGAAACCTTTTGCTTCTGAAGATGTATAGAAGCATGGAAGCAACAAAATACTTACGCCACCTTAATTATATTTGTAAGCAAAGCACTGTCTTTATCCAAAATGTGCCAACATTGGTGTGTTCGCAATCAAAAATATTTCACGTAATCTGGTAATGGACCTGAAATTAGTGTTATCTTTCCTCACTTCAGGTGTTTAGATTTAACTACAGCTTTTAAATTGTAAAAGAGCACCCGATTTTGAGTTAACTTGAATTTATTTCAAACGATGTTTAGTGATTTTCCAAATAAAACTCGAAATTATATTAGAGCTCTGTATTTTTCAGTATGAGAACTACTTTTTAACTAACTTAGTAATGAATAACGAAGTAACTGAAGTAAAAAAACTGTTAAAATACGTTTTAAATTCATTTCATCTTGTGCTAATTTCACATTCTGTAGTTTTACTGAATACAATTTATACATTTACCGAAAACAATTATGGAGTAATTTTTTTATAATAAAATTGATGACTTTCGGAGGACAAAACTTCAAATATTTGTTTCGAAACTGCGATAAAGAAACTCGTTATTCTTAAAATGGAAAAAAAAAATACTAATCAAACAAAATAAATTCTTTTGCATGGACAAAAAACAAACTATGAGAACATTGAATTAGTAAGAGCAAAGCTTTATTATTTTTTAGGTTTTGTACAACTTGAAATGTAGGGCATAGAAAACTGCTTATTTTATGAGCCAAAGCAAATGTAGGAAAAGATAGGGAGAGTCCGTCCTCATGATCTGTCATTTTTTTCCTTCTTCTTTCTTCTCCATTTTCTTAAAAATGTTGTTGCTTGCAAATATATATTAAAAAAGGAAGTTCTAAAAAAACTATTCTTGTCGGAAAACACTTTTTTCATTTTTTTATTGCGTTTTCATGTTTTCCGATGAAGCATGAAGTAGAAATAATCGTAGTTTTGAAGATTTTTAAGCGACGAATCTCTGCCACTATTTTACTGTAAAAAAATAATTTTTCGATTCAAATGTTCCTAATCATTTTTACGATTTTATCTCATCAATTATAAATTGCACATCTTCTTCATCGAGTAAAACAAAACAAATGCATCACGTCCATGCACAATAAGTGTTAGTTCCATGGCAAATCAATTATTTGTAATCAATCTTCCTCGAGGAAACACATTCTTTAAAATTTTGCAGTCATTAACTTCATGCATGAGTTTTTACTTTAAAAAAATATTCATATTATTCTACTATAAGTGCAATCAATAATTTATCAATATACATTTGTTGAAGATAATAACATATTCTAAAAAACTAAGATAATCTTAATTGTCGCATAAAAGAATATTAAAACCAATGTATGATATTTATGCTGCTTTCTGTGTCATATTTGTTATTTAATGTTTAATGCTCATAATATTTAAAAAGTTCTTTCATTATCATACCTTGTGAAAAGACAGTTTCTGTTTGAAAGTTTAAATGCATGGTGAACGTAAAA